TACTGAGCAGGTGAAACTGAAAGCATTCCCCTTGAGAACTGGAATAAGATAAGAATGCCTACTCTCATCACTCCTATTCAACACTGGACTGGCAGTCCTAGGCAGAGTAATCAGGCAAGAGAAAGAAAAAGGCATCCATATAGAAAATTAAGTCAAACTATCTCTGCTGATGATTTGATTCTATACTGAGAAAACCCTAAAGATCTGCCAAAAGGCTCCTGGAACTGCAAATCAGAATTACAAAGAGATATCACTTCTCCCCAGTTGAAATGGTTTTTTTTTCTTTTTTTTTTTTTTTTTTTTTTTTGAGATGAAGTTTCACTCTTGTTGCCCAGGCTGGAATGCAATAGTGCGATCTTGGCTCACTGCAACCTCTGCCTTTCAGGTTCAAGTGATTCTCCTGCCTCGGCCTCCTGAGTAGCTGGGATTTCAGGCATGTGCCCCCACGCCTGGCTAATTTTGTATTTTTAGTAGAGACAGGGTTTCCCCATGTTGATCAGGCTGGTCTCGAATTCCCGACTTCAGGTGATCCAGCCGGCCTCCCAAAGTGCTAGGATTACAGGGGTGAGCCACCACGCTGGGCCTGAAATGGTTTTCATGCAAAAGACAGGTAATAACACATGCTGAAAAGGATGTGGTGAAAAGGGAACCCTCATACATTGTTGGTGGGAATGTAAATTAGTACAACCACTATGGAGAACATTTTGGAGGTTCCTCAAAAAACTAAAAATGGAGTTACCATATGATCCAGCAATCCCACTGCTAGGTATATAACCAGAAGAAAGGAAATCAGTATACCGAAGAGATAGCTGCACTCCTATTTGTTGCAGCACTGTTCACAATAGCCAAGATTTGGAAACTACCTAAATATCCATCAATGGATGTTGGATAAAGAAAATGTGATACATATACACAAAGGAGTACTATTCAGCCATAAAAAAGAATGAGATTCTGTCATTTGCAACAACATGGATGCAATTGGAGGTCATTATGTTAAGTGAAATAAATCAAACATAGACAGACTTCATATACTCTCACTTATTTGTGAGTACTAAAAAACAAACCAATTGAACTCATAGAGATAGAGAGTGGGAATGGTTAATGATTACAAAAAATATATATAGTTAGAAAGAATGAATAAGACCTAGTATCTGATAGCACAACAGGATGACTGTAGTCAACAATAATGTAATTGTACATTTTAAAATAACTAAAAGAGTGTAATTGGATTGTTTGTAACACAAAGGATAAATGCTTAAGGGAATGGATACCCCATTTTCTATGATGTGATTATTGTTTATTACATGCATGTATCAAAGCATGTCATGTACCCCATAAATATATACACCTACTGTGTATCCACAAACATTTTTAAAAATAATGAAAAATTTAAAAAGAACAAACCTGGAGGCATCACATTACCTGACCTCAAACTATACTATAAACCAACAGTAACCAAAGCAGCATGGTACTGGCATAAAAACAGATGCATAGACCAATGGAACAGAATAGGAAACCCAGAAATAAAGCTTTACACCTGAAGCCATCTGATTGTTTGCAGAGTTAACAAAAATAAGCACTGGGGAAACGACTTCTTATTTAATAAATGGTGCTGGAAAAACTGTCTAGCTGTATGTAGAAGAATGAAACTGGATACCTACTTTTCTCCATATATAAAAATTAGCGAAAGATAGATTAAAGATTTAAATGTAAGGCCTCAAACTATGAGAATCCTAGAAAAAAACCTAGGAAACATCATTTCTGATTATTGGTCTTGGGAAAGAATATATGATGAAGTCCTCAAAAGCAATGACAACAGAAACAAAAATTGACAAGTGGAGTCTAACTATAATAAAGAGCTTCTGCACAGTGAAAGAAACCATCAAAAGAATAAACAGACAACCTGCAGAATAGAAGAAAATATTAACAAATGATGCATCAAACAAAAGTCTAATGTCTGGAATCTATAAGGAACTTAAACAATTGAACAAACAAAAAACAAATAGCCCCATTAAAAAATGGCCAAAAGACATGAACAGACACTTCTGAAAAGAAGACATACAAGCAGCCAAAAACATGTGAAAAAATGCTCAACATTACTATCGGAGAAATGCAAATCAAAACCACAATGAGATACTCTTCATACCAATCAGAATGGCAATTACTAAAAGTTCAAAAAACAACAGAAGCTGGTGATGTTGTGGAGACATCACCTCTTAACCTTTTCCAGCTAACTTAGGAATGTAAATTAGTTCGGTCACTGTGGAAAGCAGTTTGGAGATTTCTCAAACAACTTAGAACTACCATTTGACCCAGCAATCTCATTATTAGGTAAATGTCCAAAAGAAAATAAATCATTCTACCAAAAAGACGCATGTACTCATATGTTCATTGCAGCACTATTCATAAAAGCAAACATGGAATCAACCTAGGTGCCCATAAGTGGTGGATTGGATAAATAAAATATGGTATATTTATACTATGGAATACTATACAGTCATAAAAAGAATGAAATTATGTCCTTTGCAGCAACATGGGTGCAGCTGGATGCCATTATCCTAAGCAAATTAATGCAGGAAGAGAAAACCAAATACTGCATGTTCTCACTTATAAGTAGGAGCTAAACATTGGGTACTCATGAACATAAAGATGGCAACAATACACACTGGGGACTACTAGAGCAAGGAAGGAAGAGGGGAGGATGGGATGGGAGGATGGGATAAGGACTGAAAAACTACTGAGTACTATGCTCAGTACCTGGGTGATGGGAAAAATCATAATAAACCTCAGCATTATTCATACATACTCATGTACCAATTCTGCACATGTACCCCTGAGTCTAAAATAAAAGTGGAAATTATATAACAAGAGAAAATTTCCTTTAATCAGGGTTTAGAAGGGATTCTTCATTGCTTGTGTCCCTGTCCTAACTTTGACCCTTCTTTATATAAGAAAACAACAATTTAGCATTATATTTGTCATCCAAACCACCCCCAAGATAGGTAAGCATCTTAGAGAATCCATTTGCACTATTACGTCCTCTCCCATTGGGAGACAGGACATTTTCCCACATATGTATGGGAAAAACAGAAGCTTCAAGGTCGGGCTGATTCACGTTCAAATTCTGAATTACAATTTGCTAACTATCTGATCTTGGGAGAGATATTTCATTTCTTTAACATAACTTTCCTTCAAGTGAGGATGATGTTATGTACTTCACCTATATTATCTTCACGTTTTCTTCACGGCCACCAGCCAAAACTATTACAATGTTCCATGAAGGCATTATGCTGAACGTTTTGCACATATTATCTTATTTAAATCTTGTACTAACCCAATGAAGTGGGTACTATCATTATCTACATTTTATAGAGGAGAAAACTAGTGCACACAGAAATGTTCCAAGGTCACATAGATATTAAGTGGTGGAGTTGGGAATTAGACTGTTCCTGAGTGTATTCTTGAGCACTATGCTGTTCTACCTATACGTGCAATTGCAGGAGAGGGATGGTGAAATGTAAATCACCTGTATGTCCCTAGCCATGTAATACTAATCTGTTGATAGTTAAGCTGGGTCCTGACAGCTCTAAGTCTCTGACTACTTACACTGAAACTCCAGTCCCTATCAAAGACCTCTCTGAGAACTCTTAACCTTTTCCAGCTGACTATTCGGATTACCAATTCTTTTTTGTTTGTTTGTTTGTTTGTTTGTTTGTTTTTGAGATGGAGTCTTATTCTGTCACCCAGGCTCTGGAGTGCAGTGGCACAAATTTGGCTCACTGTACCCTCCACCTTCAGGGTTCAAGCAATTCTTCTTCCTCAGCCTCCCTAGTAGCTAGGATCACAGGTGTGTGCCACCACGTCCGGCTAATTTTTGTATTTTTAGTCGAGATGGGGTTTCGGCATGTCGTCCAGGCTGGTCTCGTACTCCTGACCTCAAGTGATCTGCCCACTGATTATCAGCTCTTTGGATGGTCTCTAGCTCTCAAAGAGAATGGATCCTCCTCTGGCTTTACATAGTGGAGCCTGTAGCATATCTGACACTGAATTTAGTGATGCAGACCATTTAGCTCATTGAAACAATTTTTTTTCCTTCCCCTTGCACAAATGGGCTGGATCTAGGTAACTTTCCATGTCTATGTTCATTCTGAACTCTACCAACAATAGCATGACCTCTCTGACAATTCCTTGTCAGAGGAATTGAACCCCCCAAAACTGGTTTCAAACCAATCCCATAACCTCTATGACTTTTTCGATAAGATATTAGTAAAATTATTTCATAACTTTGTCAAAGTTGTTATAGGTTAAACCCTGTATATCTTAATGGCCCATCCAGCTCAATTAGGCCTTCAAGATGCCACATCCCCTATTATAGAAGAACTACTTAACTTCCTTCTCGGGGTTTACTGCTGAATCCAGCTCATCACAGAAGTTCTTTCTTTTGATGGTTTCTCTCTTAAAGTCACTAAAATCTTATACATTTTACCCTTTTCCTTCTGAATTGTTGAACCCCAATTGTGGATAAAACATAGTTCAAGTATAGCCTCATCTGGGGAATGTTCTTCATGTCAATTATGAATCAAAAATTTCAAATTGATATTCATAGGGAGATATTTCAAGTAATAAGACTGATACAACTAAATGTCAATTCTTGCCAAGCAAGGAATCTGATACACAAACATGTTAATAATTTCACAGTGGAATGCTGGACCTGGCTTATACTGGCTCAGGAAATTGTGAAATTTTCAAAAAGTTTTGCAAACCAGTTGTTAAACCATTGATAGCTTAAAATCGACTATGGTGGGAGTGGGAGTATATGAGCTCTGTAAATTGGCAAACACTGCAAATCTCCTATGTGCCCCATCTCACCCCAAGATAACTAGTTAAACATTTCCCAGCACAACACTCTTTCTTCATCTTATTTTGTTGAGTGCTAACAGAAGTGGGTGGTGGCAAGTCACTCAAAGCTTTTAGTAAAGTGAGATGTTGAAATAGGACAAATCAGTAAAGACTCATACTTTCTCAAATCCAGCTGAGGAAATTCTGAGGAGCTGGGATTCTCTTTTAGCGAGTCTAGTCCATCTTCTGATTCTCGTCATTACAGGGTAAGAATGTAGGTGAATGTTTTCTGGTTCGTTTAACATGTCAGTTGGCAAAAAAATCTGAAACTAAGGATACCACTTAATTTTTGCAGCAATGACTTCAGTTGCTAAATATTTAAATGCTTGTTTTATATATAAAAATTAATAGTTGATGTTAAAGAAATTAAGAGCCAAGATGTCTTATTTCAGTTTGAATATATATTAGCTTTAGAACTGGGCTTCTTAGCCCTGACTGCATATGAGAATCACCTGGGGAGCTTCGAGAGCATACTATCATTAGGGGCCCCTCCCCCAGATCAATTAATTTAGATTCTAGAGGTGAGTCATGGCTACCGTTTAATAGAAAGTTCTCCAGGTGATTCCAATGCACACCATGATTAGAAGCAGCTGTGAAGGTTTTGGGACTTTGGATTCCTCCCACCTGATTGAAGGCAGTATGTAATTACAAAGGCTGAGCTTCTGAAGGGTTGACATTTCCTTGAAGAAAGGAGATAAAACAGAACTGTAAGTGATTGGGATTTGATTTTGTTGCTTTTGTGTAATTTTAATAATGTATTCTTTATCACCAGCATATTTTGAAGTTGTAGTAATGGCACTCATGTAAAAATACTGGGAGCAACTAGAAATTTGAGGGAATCACTTGTGAACCAAATTTACTTGTTGAATGCAGAAATACATTCCAAGTGAGGAAGGGGCAGAATTTCTCTGATGGTATGTCCTGGATATTTCTCCATATCTGTGATATTCTTTCATTTAGAGAGACTGTTACACAGAGATGAAACAGTCATGTCTAGATTTGTGTTTTCCTTCTTGCAAAGTTTTTGTCACTTCTCTAATTGTGTTGCAAAGACACCTACATGCTTGTTATCAGGAAGTGTATTAAGGCAGCCTGTGCTTAAATGTGGGAAAAGCTATTTTAAACCCCAAATATGTTTAAATGTTTTTTTAAATCATAAACTTTAAGATAAGTGTGGGAATATCCCAAGAAGTTTTGATATTTTTCCATGATATATTAGCCCCCCTTTTAATAACAAACATAAAACTCTTTCAAAAATATTTTTGGTCCACCAATTTTATTGGACTATTAAGCTATTGAGTAACTCAGCATGTATTAGTTGATGTTGGCTTGCTATAAAGGAATGCCTGAGATTGGGTAGTTTATAAAGAAAAGAGTTTATTTGGCTAACAGTTGTGCAGGCTGTATAAGCATGGCACCAGCATTGCTTCTGGTAAGACCTCAGGAAGTTTCTACTCACGGTGAATGGCAAAGGGGGACCAGGCGTGTTGCACGGTAAGAGAGGGAGCAAGGGTTGAGGAGATGCCAGGCTCTTTAAACAACCAGCCCTCACATGAACTTATAACCAAGGGGAGGGCACCAAACCATTCATGAGTGATCCACCCCCATGACGGAAACACTCCCACTAGGGCCCACCTCCAACACTAGGGATTACATTTTCGTGACATTTGGAGGGAACAAATATCCAAACAGTATCACAGCACTAGATTCAAAATGATGTTTCTGATTTTTGCTGACTTCTTTCCTCAGAGATTTACTAACCATGAATTTCCAACTTTCAATATGATGACACAGTGACTGAGATTACAATCTGAGGATGATAAATTATCACCTAAAAAAAGATAGATTTTTAAAAGAAAAGACTGAAAAGTCAGAATAATATTAGAAATCTGGTCCAGATGATAAATGCTGAAATAAGAGATAGTTTTGCCACTTAATCATAATTATTTGAAAAGCCATAGAAAGGTTTAAATTGATTTCTTTATAAAAGCATTCTAATTTTTAAAATCCTCATTACGTAATATTTATTTATATAAGATCTTAGCAATACAAGTTTCAAGAGTATGTTGAACTTTTATTTGATGAGCTTTCTCTGGAATTGACCTTTGTTTCCATTTTATCCTTGAATATGGGAGAAAAACACTTAATTGGCAAAAAAAGAAGATTTTCACAATAATACTTAATTATAAAAGCAAATGTATCTTAGTGCAATTATCGCATTCATTTCATGAATACTAAAGGGGTTAAAGCCAATTTAACTTTATGGTTTCTAAGATTAAGTGGTTTTCTATTAAGAAATTGGAATGTCACATTAAAATTCAGTTTCACTGAAAAGGGTCCAGAGCAGTTTTCAGAAACATAAAAAGTATTCCTACGTCTTACAGATTATTACTTTCAAACTTCCTCATAAAGAATATCGATACACATAAGTGATAAGTATTGAAAATGATGCGGGCAACAGCTTTAATATTTGCAGGTTTCTTTTGGTCTCTATTCCTGAAATCACATTGAATATGAATAATTATGACTCTTCTTTTATGAAGTTATTTAGTAAGGCTGAAAATTATATGCCAAGTATGTGTCTAAGGAGACAAACCCATCTCAGTCTGAGTAATGACTAAGAAGACTTAAAAGTGTTGTTAGAAGTTGTGGCTCTGTTTACAAGAGAGTAAGCGAGCACATTTGAATGTCTGAACTGAGTGTATGTCTCAGCATTTTTTCCATTAAAATAACATAATTTTAATTATCCAGTGTATTGGAAAGACCACTTATCTTGCCTCTCATTGCTGCAGAGAAGGAGAAAATTTAAAAGTCATTTACTACCACCAGCTAAGTCCTTTGTGCTCCATGTGTAGTAGAACAATTTCAGTTAAGATGCTCAAAAAAATTTTAATGTAACACAGCAATAGGAATGCATCTTTCAGCACCATTCCAATGTCATTTTTTAGGCAACAGTTTGGAGTCTTTCCCTTGGAAAAATCAGAGTTCTTGGAAAGGAAACTCTATTGTATTCTTGCTCAATTTTATTTAATGACAGCATGATTTGGAGAGGCAAGAGGGCCTCTTTTTAAGACCAAAAAAAAAAAAAAAAAGTTTAAAAACTTAGTGCTTTTTTTTTTTTCTTTTTGAAATGCAGTCTCACTCTGTCGCCAGGCTGGAGCGCAGTGGTGTGATCTTGGCTCACTGCAACCTCCACCTCCCAGGTTCAAGCAATTCTCCTGCCTCAGCCTCCCGAGTAGCTGGCGCTTACAGGTGCCCGCCACCACACCTGGCTAATTTTTGTATTTTTAGTGGAGACAGGGTTTCACCATGTTGGCCAGGATGGTCTCGATATCTTGACCTCATGACCCACCCACCTCGGCCTCCCAACATGCTGGGATTACAGGTGTGAGCCACCGCACTTGGCCTGGTTGTTTTTTTTTTTTTTAAACTGTTTATTTCCATAGGATTTTGGGAAACAGGTGTTATTTGGTTACATGAGTAAGTTATTTAGTGGTGATTTGTGAGATTTTGGTGCACCCATCACCTGAGCAGTATACACTGAACCCAATTTGTAGTCTTTTATCCCTCATTGCCCTCCCACCTTTTCCACTGAGTCCCCAGAGTCCATTGTATCATTCTTCTGCCTTTGCAGCCTCATAGCTTAGCTCCCGCTTATGAATGAGAACATACAATGTTTGGTTTTCCATTCCTGAGTTACTTCACTTGGAATAATAGTCTCCAGTTCTATCAAGGTTGCTGCAAATACCATTAAATTGTTCCTTTGTATGGCTGAGTAGTATTCCATCTTATATATACATACACCACAATTTCTGTATTTACTCATTGACTGATGGGCAATTGGGCTGGTTCCATATTTTTGCAATTGTGAATTGTGCTGCTATAAACATGCATGTGCAAGTATCTTTTTCGTATAATGGCTTCTTTTCCTCTGGGTAGGTAACCAGTAAGTGGGATTACTGGATCAAATGGTAGTTCTACTTTTAGTTCTTTAAGGAATCCCCACACTGTTTTTCATAGTGGTTGTACTAGTTTGCATTCTCACCAAAAGTGTAGAAGTGTTCACTTTTCACCCCATCCGCACCAAAATCTAATATTTTTTGATATTTTGAGTATGGCCATTCTTGCAGGAGTAAGGTTGCATTGCATTGTGATTTTGATTTGCATTTCCCTGATCATTAGTAATGTTGAGCATTTTTTATATGCTTGTTGGCCATTTGTATAGCTGCTTTTGAGAATTGTCTATTCATGTGCTTAGCCCACTTTTTGATGGGATTGTTTGTTTTTTTCTTGCTAATTTGTTTGAGTTCATTGTAGAGTCTGGATATTAGTCCTTTGTCGGATATACAGATTGTGAAGATTTTCTCCCACTCTGTGGATTGTCTGTTTACTCTGCTGGCTGTTCCCTTTGCTGTGCAGAAACTATTTAGTTTAATTAAGTCTCACACATGTATCTTCATTTTTGTTGTATTTGCTTTTGGGTTGTGTGTCATGAAGTCTTTGCCTAAGCCAATGTCTAGAAAGGTTTGTCCAATGTTATCTTCTAGAAGTTTTATAGTTCAGGTCTTAGGTTTAAGTCCTTGATCCATCTTGAGTTGATTTTTTAGTAAGGTGAGAGGTGAGGATCTAGTTTCTTTCTGTTCATCCTAGCATGTTTGGAAGCATCCATGTCCTCTAACCACCAGATGCCAGTAATCGTCCTTTCACCTCAGCTGTGACAATGAAAAATATCTCCAGAGTTTGCCAAATGTCCCCTGGGAACAAAATTGTTTCCTTCCCCATCATTGAGAACCACTACTGTGGATTCTACTGCTTTGTGACATAATCATATATTTTCCAAAATGGGTGTTAGAAAGTATAGATAATCAGCCCCATAACATTGATAATCCTTATGTGCAGTACCAAAGGAAGTACTTAAAAGAAAAAGCTGAGTTTTTTGCTCATTAAACTATGTTTATTGCTTATTAAGGGCAAGCTGTACTTGTAAGCACTGTGTCTCTGAGAAAAGAAGAGCATTGAACTTATACAGGGTTTAGGAAAGCAAGGAGTCCCTGAATTGGCAAATTTTGGTGTGAGTTGCATTGATCTAATAGATTAGGTCCAGTTTGTAACTGGTTCAGGTAGTTACTTATTGCTATAGCCAAAGAACAACCAATCATTTCCAAGTAGCATAGGAATATTTTGCTTTTAAAAGTATATGCCCTAA